TCCACACGCTTCCCCTGTGCAACGCGCGCCACATAAGTGACCCACTGGCGGGTGTATCAGCCGAGAGCTGGTTGAGGAAAACCAATTGCTTCACTGGCGTTCTGGGTCTTAAAATGAGTTGGTGCACTCGTACTCCACACGCGTCCCCCGTGTATCGCTCACCGCACAGGTGACCCACCGGCGGGCGGGTCAACCGATAGCTGTTTTGGAAGCAACCCATTGTTTCACTGGCATTCTGGGCCTCAGCATGGGTTGGTGCGTTCGTGCTCCACACGCTTCCCCCGTGTATCACTCACCGCACAGGTGACCCGCCAGCGGGTGGGTCACCAGAGTACTGGTTGAGGACAACCATTTGCTTCACTTGCATGCTGAGCCTCAGCATTGACTTGTGCACTCGTGCCCCACACGCGTGCCCCGTGCAGCGCGCACCGCACAGCTGACGCACCAGCGGGTGGGTCACCCGATCTCTGGTTGAGGAGAACCAAGTGTGTCACTTGAACTCGGGGCCTTCACATTAAACTGTGCGGTCGTGCTCCACACGCTTCCCCAGTGCAGCGCGCACTGCACAGGTGACCCACCAGCGGGTGGGCCACCCGAAAACTGGTGGAGGAACCCTCGGATTTCTCTTGCCATCGGGGCCTCAAAATGAGCTCGTGCGTTCGTACTGCACACGCTTCACCTGTGCAGCGCGCGCCGCACAGGTTACCCACAAGCGGGCGAGTCACCCGAAAACTGGTTGAGAAAAACTATGTGTGCTGAATGCATGCTGGGCCTCAGCAAGACTTGGTGCATTCGTACTTCATGCGTTCCTCCTGTGCAACGCGCACCGCACGAGTGACCCACCAGCGGGTGGGTCACCTCGAAACTCTGTGAGAAAACAAGTTTTTTCATTTGCATCCGGCCCTGGCCCAACACTTGACGCGTGGTCCAGGATCGAAAACCGCGCGGGAGAGGATGTATGTATGTATGTCAGTGTGTACTTGGAGAGTTTTACATACATGCAGATATGCATCTACAGACTGATATCAGCGCTCCTTGTCCAGCAAATATTTTCCAGGGGGGGCAATCTAAAAATAATTATTCGGGGGGGGGGGCCAAGGAGGGGTCACTGGTCCTGAGCATCAGCAGGTCCGCCATTCCGAGCTGAGAGCCTGGCTCGAGTTGGGAGCGTGGCTGGCGCTGAAACACCACGCCGAGCTGTGAAACGGCCAGCGCGAAGGCCGCAACGCCACCCCACGATGTGCGTGGGAGAATGATTTTTGATCCCCCCCCCCCCTAACGTCCGTTACGGGGGTTAGGTTCGGCCCCCCGTGGGAAGGGAACGGTATCGTAGTCGGGCCCCGCGGGAATGGGGGCTCGGGCGCCACACGACGACGACGACGATGACGACGACGACGACGAAGACGAGGATGTGGACAAGGACGGGGACGACAACGCCGACGATGATGACGACAATGACGAGGACGAGGACGAGGACGAGGATGACGACGACGAAGACGAGGATGACGACGTGGACAAAGACGACGACGAGGAAGACCACGACGACGAAGACGGCCGCCTCTGAAAGTCTCCGTAGGCCTCCAGTAGCCTAATGATGTCTCTGGTAACCTCGAAGCACCTGGAGGCCCATCGAGGCTCCCGTCGACGACAACGACGACGACGACGACAGGGACGAGACGAGGACGGGGACGACGAGGACGAGGACGTGGACAATACGACGATAACGACGCCGACGAGGACGAGGACGAAGACGAGGACGACGACAACGACGAAGAGACGACGACGACTTCGAGGAGGACGACGACGACGACGAGGACGACGACGGCCGCCTTCGAAGATCTCTGGAGGTCTCCTGAGGCCTGAAGAAGCCTCCGCAGACTTCTGGACGCGTCTGGATGCCCTTCGAGGCCATCGGCGACTACGACGACGACGACGACAGCGACGACGACAAGTACGACGAGTACGACGAGGAGGACAAGGACGAGGACGAGGACGACGACAAGGACGAGGACGAGGACGGTAACGAGCAAGCCGATGACGACGACGACGACTACGACGACGACGCCAGTGACGACGACGACGCCAGTGACGACGACGACGACGACGACGACGACGACGACGACGACGACGGCAACAACGACGACGACGATGACGACGACGACCACGAAGACAGGAACGACGACGACGACAACGACAACGACGATGATCATTTTAAGACTGTTCGCTCTGGCACGCGTGTCTCGCATTCTGTATATCCCATCCCCAGATGCCCGCCCACTTCGTCTTCGATCGCACCCTCTTTCAGTGGGAATATCGTCCTTATCGGCCACTGAATGAAGTGCGAGGAACTCTCGAGCGCGAGCGCCGTTGCGGAGTTTGGGGACCTCTCTGGCCAGGCCACGGGCTTTCGGAGCACAGATCGAGACATATCGGACAGGAACCCTTGTCGCCGTGTCTGGGCCTTCATCAGCTTGCCTGAATTGCGAGAAAACCTCGAGCGAGAGCGCCACGCTTGAGTTCGGGGGCCTCTCTGGCAAAGGCCTCTGCGAATACATCTTGAGGAAGTATCGAACGAGAGCCCTTGTCGTCGTAGTGGGGCCTCCACCAATTTGACTGACTTTCGAAAAAGTCTCGAGCGACAGCGCCGTTCCTGAGTTCGGGGGCCATCCTGGCCAGGGCTCTCGGAGTAAATCGTGTGGAAGTATCGACCAGGAGCCCTTGTCGTCGCGGCTGGGCCTCCACCCAAACTTGACTGAATTGCGAGGAGGTCTCGAGCGAGAGCGCCTTTCCTGAGTTTGGGGCCTCTCTGGCCAGGGTGTCTCGGGGTAAATTGTGACGAAGTATCGAGCGGGAGCCGTTGTCGTCGTAGCCGGGCCTCCAAGGGCACACTTTCACACTCAAGCCAACGCCGACGACGATGACGACGACGACGACGACGACGGCTGCCTCTGGAGGCATCTGGAGTCTCTCTGGTGCCTGTCAGCATCACACCATGCCCGTGAGCACAGCGCCGTGTCTTTGGTGGAGGGGGCCCTGACCCCCTCCCCGTACCGTTCCCGTCACGGGAGGGGCGACCCCCCCCAGAGCGGACGTTACGCGGCTGGCGCTGAGTCCGAGCGCCATTGCGACATGAAGTGGGAATGTATGGCCCGCGCCGAGGCTGGAGCAGCGCTCCAAGCTTGGACGGTGGCCAGCGCTACGCCCCAGCCGAGCTGGGCACGTGGCCGGCGCCGCAGTCGGACGGCAAGCCCGGGCCAGGAAAGCGCCGGGCGCTGGGGGCAGATCATAGCTCCACGTTTCGAGGGAGGCACGGGGACACAGGAGCTGCACGTCATCTCTGCTGCTGCGCCCAGTCTGCGACCAGAGCTCGCCAGCAGCGGGGGCTGACACCCCAGGGTCAGCCTCGAGGGTGGCTTGTACTCATGATGCTTCCACTGCTGCTGCTGCTGCTGCTGCTGCTCCTTATGCTCCTGCTCCTCTACATGCTCCGGCTGCTGCGGCTCTCGCTTTTCTTCCCACACGAGCTGCACTTCTGTGACCGTTTTTGGGGACCATGCATCCCAGAATTAGCCTGGCGAAGAACCCGACCATATGACAGTAGTGAGTGCCGCAGTTGTGGGTATTGTCTTCTGTGGAGCTCCCTGTACTGGGTGGGGAGACGCATGCGAACTTTGCCAGTGGGGCCTTCGGTGGAGCTCCCCATGGGGCCACGAAGCGCTGTACTGGGCGGGGGGGCATATGAGAACTGCGCCACTGGGACCTTCGCTGGATCTCCCCATGGGGCCACGAAGCGCTGTACTGGGTGGGGGGAACACACGCGAATTGCGCCATTGGGACCTGCGGTGGAGCTCCCGATGGGCCAACGAAGCGCATATTGGGCGGGAGGGGACGCATGTGAACTGCGCCACTGGGGCCTCCGGTGGATCTCCCCATGGGGCCACGGGGCGCTGTACTGGCTGGGCAAGACTCGTGCGAACTGCGCAACTGGGACCTTCGGTTGAGCTCCCTATGAGGCCATGCAACATTGTACTGGGGGGGGGGACGCATACGAACTGCGCCACTGGGACCTTCGGTGGCGCTCCCTATGGGGGCACGAAACATTGTACTGGGGGGGAAACGGATGCGAACTGCGCTATTGGGACCTGCGGAGGAGCTCCCTATGGGCCGAAGAGACATTGTACTGGATGGGCGGGACGCACACGTGCTGCGCTATTGGGACCTCCGGTGGAGTTTCCCCTGGGGCCACGAAATGCTGTTCTGGGTGGGGGAGACGCATGCGAACTGCGCCACTGGGACCTTCGGTGGAGCTCCCCATGGGGCCACGAAGCGCTGCACTGTGTGGGGGAGCCATGCGATCTGCGCTGCTGGGGTGGCCTCTGGTGGATCGCCCCATGGGGCCACGAAACGCTGCACTGGGCGGGAAACTCGCTGTACTGGGTAGGGGAGACGCATGCGAACTGCGCCACTGGGACCTCCGGTGGAGCTTCCCCTGGGGCCACGAAATGATGTTCTGGGTGGGGGAGACGCATGCGAACTGCGCCACTGGGACCTTAGGTGGAGCTCCCCGTAGGGCCACGAAACGCAATACTGGGTGATCCTAATGACGACAGCGACGAGGACATGCGGAGTGCAGAGGCAGGGACGGGAGGTGGGAGGGGGAGGAGGCGGAGGAGGAGGAGCAGGAGGAGAAGGAGCAGGAGGAGAGGACGAGGAGGAGAGGAACGCGGGGACTGTTTCTTCAAACGAGGACCCAACAACAGGCCGGTTGGGAAATACGACTCCTGGGCTTTACCTCCGCCGCCATCAAAAGAGTTTCCGCGGGCGGAGGCGACATCGTGGTACTTCCGATGGCGCAAAAGAAGGCAACCTCTTTCTCCCTCGAAGCTGGGGCCATTTATGTAACGTCCTACACGTCTCCCACTCTCGTTCCCCTTCCACCAACACCTCACCCTCATGAGCCTTCTCCTTCCCACAGCGGAAGAGGGGGTGTAGAGAGCGGCTCTCCTCGTCGTCCGAGTCGAGGACGCCGCCATCCTCAGCAAAGCGGCCGCGCCGAGAATATGGAGAGGGCGGTCGTGCGAATCGGATCTGAGCGCCCCGAGGAGGGGATGGATTAGAAGGAAGGGGCGGGCAGAGCCAAAGGTAAACCAGAGGGGCAAGCTGGGAAGAATTTGCCCCATGTAAGGGCGGCTAGACATCCTCGCGTCGCCAACAAGTCACGACGGTTTGTTTGATGCCACACGATCAGATCTTCACCATACATACATTCATCCATACATACATGCATACATGCATACATACATGCATACATGCACACATACATCTAGATTCACACACATCCATGCGTCCATATATCAACATACAGACAACCATCCGTACATCCATCCACCAACGCATGCATAAATCAACACACGTATTTGCATACATGCATACATACATACATGCAGTCATACCTATAACCATGCATGTATGCATCCATTCATACAAAAAGAATCACGAGCACATAGATGCACCCGTACATGCACATCCATACATACATCCATTCATACCTGCAGACAAACAAACACACACATATATATATATATATATATATATATATATCACATTACGCTTCGCTGCGCCGCAGTACACTACATGACATTGTAACGCGATGTCTTGCATTCGATTATACGAAATGGCAATACAATGCAGTACATGTCATGCAACCATGTTACATTGCATACATGCGGACATACACGTCTTGTGAATATAGTTAAACAACTGTTTACATGGAGGGGCAGATTTCTCGACGTCGGCCATGCTTGCAGGGGCGAGAGTGGGGAGCACGACGGTTTGGGGCCCCTCCAGATCTGGCAAACATCGGCGCGTTCTCACAAAACGGCGGCCACAGCCGTTTCATGTTGACATGTGTGTATATTATGTATGCAAACGTAGACCACTGCACACCGAACCACGAATATATACAGATGTGTATTTACACATGTGTATACAAATATAGGGAGGCGACCTTGCGGGCTGCAAGGAGGCAGCGTGAATGAATCCCCATCACAAGTTGTCCAATCATGACAACATAACGCCAACAATACCCTAACTCATGCGATTGGAAAACACGGAATCGCCTGATGTCCTACCTGCATCATGCGATGCAAGATGAGAAGACCTTTGCCAACGCTGGTGAACATCACGCGAAACAGCGGCAGCGTAGCAGGGCCGCCCATTACAACTTCTGCTTCCACAGTGACCCCGAGAAAGCCCCGACGGCCCCCAGGACCGCCAAGATAGACCTCGGAAGGCATCCAACATGACCCCATGACACCCTCGTGCAAAACAAATCTGCAGAGGCATGTTCCACGTCGTGCTCCTACACGTCACTGATTAAGGCAACTCGCCTGGGGATCGTTTCTGGATGGGATGGTGGGGATACTTTTTTGGTCAGCGTCCCCGAGTCTACGGTCAGGGAGCGGAGGCGGCGTCCGGGCCACGGGCGAGGCTAATTTGCAAGACAATTCGCCGCCAGCCAGAGTCGGCGGACAGACAGCTCGCACCTGCACATGCACTGAACAAAATGACCAGAATTCGAAAGGCAGACACACGGAGGCGCAGCAGCCCTAGCCACAGTGGGCAGGCCGCCGGATGGTGGGGATACGTGAAGCCACAAGACTTTGCCCTTCCAAGCTCACGAAGGGCGGTACAAGAGGAAATCGGCGGAGGAGGGTAGCCAGAGGGATGTGCTAGAGGGAGGCTGAAGAGCGGGGGGCGAAAGAAAAACCTGACACAAATAAACATCAACCTATGTCCCCCTCCAAAGCACGCGGAGCGAGCCGGAGGCGGTGCTTGGTGGGCCCAGCGCCGATCCAAGAAATCCGCGCGAAGCTCCAAAAGTTTTACGATCCTGCATGTTTGCTCTTCTTCGAGGGGGGAGGCTCAAGCTGGCCACCAGCGTGCTTCCAAAAGGCTCGAAGACCGCCACTAGACGGCTGTCAATGGTCACGGACCCCCCCAAAGATGCCCCCAGGACCGGGTCGCGCATGCCGAGCAAGAGACGCAGATCTACCGCATCGACCTGGGGTGTCCATGTCTCTCCATTTTGAGGGGTCGGCGGGACGAGTGTGTGAGGCATGGAGCGTACAGGCGTATAGGGAACACGGGAGCAACAGACATACACATCCCTGCCCGACCGTCTTTTACAGCTTCAGGAATAGATTAACCCGTTCTCGGGGGCATCCTCGGCTCGCACAGAGAGAACCAGGACAAACGGGCGGCGAACAACAAGCGCCTTGAATACGGACAAGGAGGAGGAGGAAGCAAAATCCGTGAACAAAAACAAGGCTGAGAGGTGAAACTCCCTTGACATTTCCATGATCTTGGGTTACTTGCAGAAAAACAAGGGTGCACATTCTTCGAACCACTCAAAAACTTTGGGGCCCACAGTAGGCCAGAGGGTCGGAACTGGTAGGGGCTTTCACGCGCAAGCCGTTGCTATTGATGTCCGACGGCTCTCGACACAATTCGGCGCGTAAGGCAATCCTCGAAAAAACTGTGCGAGCGTCCGGACACGCACTTCAATTGGGAGAAGCTGATGGGCACCGCTTGGGAGGTAGAATAAGAGTAGAGGATGCAGACTAGAGATGGAACACAGAGAGATGAAGGAGCATACTACCAGGATGCAGGAACGCATACCACACATGGCTGGGCCATAACACGGATACCTACACATGCGGAAGGCTGAAGCATCCAGCCGCGGGGGTCCGAGCGCTGGAACGGCATCCAGCTCTTGTCAAGGCCAGCCACGTCATGTGCATCAAGCTTCCTGGTCGAGAGTGGAGAGCTCTTGATGTTTTGATCTTGCGTCAATCTTCGCTAAGAGGCTGCAAGGTAGCTTCTGTTCAAAACGGGGGCCCATAGGTTGCAGTGAACAGGAAGGCTGTAAGGACTTATGAAGAGGGTGTCTGGCAGCATCGCTGATACGTCTTGAACTTATTATGGTCATCCTCCTCGTCGATCCTCCTCGTCGATCCTCCTGCCGCAGGTCCGAAGCATCGTTTCTTTCAACACGAGGTCCCCGGAAGTCCCGACCATTTTCTCGGGACTGGTTTCGACTAGTTTGACGGTCCTGGGCCCGGGCGACGGCCCCCTGAACTCCTTCTCCTCCACGTCACCTTGCAGAGCAACGTTCGAGAGCGACCACGGATCGGAAACGCCCCACCCGACACCAGGCACCCCAGTCATGCCAGAGGCAGACCCTTCTGCCACCTTTGCCGAGGCGTGGGCCCCCAGGTGGCGGCACGTGGCCGACGAGACTCCGTCGCACCTCCTCCCCCTCCTCCGCACGGCCGACCAGCCAAGGCCCTCCATGTCCTCGCCTCCAGAGCGGAATCTGAAGAACCACTCGAGAAACCATCGAGCAAACCATCGACAAACCTGGGGACACCACAAGGTACCGATACCGCTCCCCCCCGGACCTCTCCCGGGGTGCGATCTGATGAGAATTGCGAGGCGAATCCAGCGGTGGCGACGAGGGCCTCCGAGGAGGCCCCCCAAAACGGGAAGACGAGGAAGGGTAGAGGTATGGGTGCATTTTGCTCCTCTGAAAACCATCGAACAAACCATGGGCACTCCACCAACCTCTCCCGCCTCCCAAGCGCGTCGGCGCAGGCCTCGGCGGGCTTCGCCGGCCTGAACCCTGCCGGGTCCGCCGCCGCGGCCGCCGCCGAGGGCCTGCCGGCCTCGTCGTCGGAGTCCAGCACGCCGCCGTCCTGCGGGACGGGCGTGGGGCGCTGCCGCTGCTCGGGCAGCGGGCGCCCCCGCAATCGGCGGCGCGCCGAGGGGGCAAGCGACAGGGGGCTCGGCCCCGTATGCCATCTGAGAGGCCGCCGCTGGGAGAGGGCTGAGAGTTTCTCAACAGGCCGGAGACATTCCGAGCCTTCCGACAAGGCCCGTCCTCCCTGCCTTCCCCGCTGGGCACGGAAGCTGGAACCCCCACACCCCCTGGCGGAAGATGTCCCAACCATCATGTGGTGTTGGGCCCTCGGTCTGGAGAGACAGCACCCCGCGTTCCTTCCTTCCTTCCTTCCCCTCCCCCTCCCTCATCCCATTCCTGCCTCTGCCCTCCGCATGTCCATGCCCATGCTGGCACACCCCTTACACACGTCGTGGCACCATAGGGAGCTCCACCTGAAGCCCCAGTGGGAGGGTTCGCATGGCACACCTCTCACACGTTTCGTGGCCCCACAGGGAGCTCCACCCAGTGGGAAAGCTCACATGGCACCGCCGCCCCATTTCGGCTCACCGCTCACACGCTTCGTGGCCATATATGGAGCTCCACCTGAGGCCCGAGTCGGGAAATTCACGTGGCACCGCAGCCCCATGCCAGCAACCCCATCACACGCGTCGTGGCCCCACAGTGAGCTCCACAGAAGGCACCAGTCGGAGGGTTCGCATGGCACCGCCGCTCCATATCGGCACACCTCTTTCACGCTTCGTGGCCCCATAGAGCCCACCTGAGGCCCCAGTGGGAAAATTGTCCTGGCACCGCTGCCCCATGCTGGCACCTCCTCACACGCTTCGTGACCCCATAGGGGGCTCCACCCAAGGCCCCAGTGGGAGGGTTCGCATCGCACCGCCGCCCCGTTTCGGTACACCTCTCACTTGCATGGCGGCCCCGCCTCATCTCGGCACACCCTTCACACGCTTCGTGGCTCCATGAGGACATTCACCGAAGACGATACTCACAACGACGGTACTCACAACTGCATATGGCTGAGAATGCCCCATATCTAAAGGATGGCATTCTTCTTGCTCCCCATATGAAAAAGATGGGGGTGTTTGTTCCCATATCCACAAGATGGGGTTCTTGAGATTATTCCGACCATGCCAACTACTTCACTCACTCCTCCTCCTCCTCCTCCTCCTCTTCATCTTATGTCGTGGCATGGTATGCCTTTATGTGATATGTTGCATTGCGGTATGTTAAGTTGTGTCAGGTTAGGCTTGGCTGTTCCCCATACCCAGAGACTGGGATTCGGTTCGCTAACCCGACCGCGCCGAGGCGGCCCGCCCACCTCCTCCTCATCCTCCTCCTCACCCACAGTCACGCTCAGATGCTACGTTGCGTTATGACCTAATATGTTATGTGATGACTTGTTCTAGTATGGTATGTCTAGTTAGTTCCGCATATCCAAAGACTGGGGTTCTTGTTCCCCATATCCAAAGGGTAGGGCAGTGATATTCCTCGGGCCGCGCCGACTCCTTCACCCACTCCTCCTCATGATGCTGTATGGTATGTAATAGTATGCCATGTTCTGGCGTGTTATGGTCTGTAATGCTATATTCTGCTGTGGTATGACATGTGACGACATGATGGGATGATGGTGTTTTATGTGTCAGGTTGGTGTTATGTTGTGGTATGGTATGCTATGATATGATGTGAAGATGGTAACGATGGTGATGCTGCTGCTGATGATGATGATGATGACGATGATGCTACTGATGATGATGCAGCTGCTGCTGATGATGGTGTTGATGATGATGAGGGGGATGAGGATGATGAGGGTGGTAATGCTGATGATGAGGGTGGTAATGCTGATGATGACGATGGTGATGGCGGAACAAATCCTGAGGATGTCTCGAGCGAAACACGGAGTTCGGCACCTACAAGGGGGAGCCGTCAAGGGGTATATCACTCCTCCGTTCGCGCTAAAATGGCGAGGATGTCTCGAGCGGTTTGCCTGTTTCGGTGCCCGACATCTTCCGCTTTCGGAGCAGATTTGGAGGACATCTCGAGCGAATCGCGGATGTTCGCCCCACGAGCGGCCAGATGTTGAGGATGTCGTCTCGATCGGTTTGCCTGTTTTGGTGACCAGACTCTTGGGCACAAGATCCTCCCCAGGATGCCACAGGAGGCTCCAGGAGGCCCCAGGAAGCCACGAGGTCCCAGGAGGCGCCAGGAGGCCACAGGAAGGCTCAAGAGGCCCCAAGGTTCCCCAAGAGGCTCCAGGACGCTCCAGGAAGCTCCAGGAGGCCTCAGGAGGCTCCAGGATGCTCCAGGACGCCACAGGAGGCTACAGGAGGCCCCAGGAGTCCAAAGGAAGCGCCAGGAGGCACCAGGAGGCCACAGGAAGCGCCAGGAAGCTCCTCAGTGTTTTACGTATGTTCCTACTGACTGGGCCTCCCCTCGGGCACGAGTCCTGAGTCCTGTGTGTGTGCGTGTGTGTGTGTGTGTGTGTGTGTGTGTGTGTGTGTGTGTGTGTGTGTGTGTGTGTGTGTGTGTGTGTGTGTGTGTGTGTGTGTGTGTTTCCCAACCATCCTGTGGTGTTGGGTCCTCGTTTTGAAGAGACAGCACCCCGCGTTCCTCACCTCACCTCCCGCACTCCTCCCCCTCCTCCCTCCTCGCATCCCTGCCTCTCCTCTACCTGTGCCGTCACCACCATCATAATCGTAATCTTCAATGTGATCACCATCGCCATCGGCAGCGTCGTGACTTTGTTCTCCGCATGCCCATACCGGCGCATCCCTCACACGGTCCGTGGCCCCATAGGGAGCTCCACCGGAGGCCCCTATGGTACAGTTTACATGCGTCCCCGCCACCCAGTGCGGCACATCATTCGCATGCTTCGGGGCCCCGTAGGGAGCTCCACCGAAGGCCCCAGTGCTGACATCACGCGGTTCGTGGCCCCATAGGGAGCTCCACCAAAGGCCCCAGTGGCACAATTTACATGCGCCCCCCTCCGCCCATTTCGGCACATCCCTCACACGGTTTGTTGCCTCATAGGAAGCTCCACCAGAGGCCCCAGAGGCACAGTTTACATGCGTCCCCACCACCCAGTGCGGCACCCCCCTCACACAGTTCGTGGCCCCATAGGAAGCTCCAGCGAATGTCCCAGTGGCACACCCCTCACACGCTTCGTGGCCCCATAGGGAGCTCCACCGAAGGCCCCAGTGGTAGAGTTTACACGCGTCCCCGCATTTCGGCACACCCCTCACGCGGTTCGTGAGCTCCACCGAGGGCCCCGGTGGCACAGTTTACATGCGCCCCCGCCACACATTTCGGCACACCCCCTGCACGGTTCTTTGATGCCCCACTGGTACAATTTACATGCGTCGCCGCCACCCATTGCGGCACACCCCTCACACGGTTCGTGGCCCCATAGGGAGCTCCACCGAAGGCACCAAAGGCAAAGTCGTCTCCGCCACCCATTCCGGCACCCCCCTTACGCGGTTCGTGGCCCCATAAGGAGGTCCAGCGAGGCCCCAGAGGTATAGTTTACACACGTCCCCGACACCCATTTCGGCACCCCCCTCACACGGTTCGTGGCCCCATCGGGAGCTCCACCGAAGGTCCCAGTGGCAAAATGCACACGCGTGGCCGCCACCAATTTCGGCACACCCCTCACACGGTTCGTGGCCCCATAGGGAGCTCCACCGAAGGCCTCAGTAGTATGCGTCCCCGCCGCCCACTTCGGCACACCCCTCACACGCTTCGTGGCCCCATGGGGAGCTCCACCGAAGGCCCCAGTAGCACAGCTCACATGCGTCCCCGACACCCATTTCGACACACCCCTCACGCGGCCTGTGGCACCATAGGGAGCGTTAGCGAAGGCCCCAGTGGCATAGTTCACATGCGACCCCGCCACCCATGTCGGCACGCACGCCCCTCACACGGTTCGCGGTCCCATAGGGAGCTGCACCGAAGACACCAGTTGCACAATTTACATGCGCCCCCGCCACCAATTTCGGCACACCCCTCACACGGTTCGTGGCCCCATGGGGAGCTCCACCGAATGCCCCAGTAGCACATTTTATATGCGTCCCCGCCACCCATTTCGGCACACCCCTCACGCGGTTTGTGGCCCCATGGGGAGCTCTACAGAAGGCCCCAAAGGTATAGTTCACATGCGACCCCGCCGCCCATGTCGGTACGCGCACCCCTCACACGGTTCGCGGTCCCATACGCATCTCCACCGAAGGCACCAGTGGCACAATTTACATGCCTCCCCGCCACAGTTGACATGCGTCCCCGCCACCCAGTGCGGCACCCCCCTCACACGGTTCGCGGCCCCATAGGGAGCTCCGCCGAAGGCCCCAGGGGGTGTGGCCACATGCGCCCCGCCACCCAATGTTGACACACCGCTCACACGGTTCGTGACCCCATAGGGAGCTCCACCGAAGGCCCCAGGGGGTGCGTCCACATGCGCCCCGGGTACTCGCAGCTGCATATGGTTGGGTCCTCCGCCAAGCTAATTTACGTGTGCTCCTATACCCGTGTCCTGCTCCTCTAATCCGCAGTGTTTCATGTACTTCTGTTTCTATAGATTGGGCCTGTCCTGGGGCACGAATCCTCCCCAGGAGGCTCCAGGAGGCTCCTAGAAGCCTCCTCAGGAGGCTACACGAGGCCCCAGGAGGCCCCAGGAGGCTCCAGGAAGCCCCTAAGAGGCCCCAGGAGGCCCCAAGAGGATCCAGGAGGCCCCAGGAAGCCCCTGGAGGCTTCAGGAGGCCCCAGGAGGCCCCAGGCTCATGCGCAGAGGCGCGCTCGTACTACTGAGACCCATTCACACTCCAGCTCAATCACGGTAAGAGTCACTCCCAGATCCTACACAAGCCCGCTTATAGTTTGGAAACTCATACGCCTAGACAATCACAGCGGACAGGTCCATGCGACGTGATGCACGTATGGGGAGCTCCACGCAGTGAACACTTCTATGTTATGTTATAAACTGATATAGCATACCATGGCATGTTATGGTATGACATGCTGTGTTATGGTATGCTACGCTGTGGTATGCTA